ATTGATAATGAAATGATAACTTGTCATTAAATTTATCATTACATTGATAATGAAATGATAACTTGTCATTATATTGACAGTGAAATAATAATATAATGAAGGTAAATTGATCGGAAAAGAAAAGTGAGATGTATAATGATGGTGAAAAAAATATAAAAAAATAAAATAGAATATAATGATGATGAAAAAAAAAAAATAAAATAATAGTACCATTAATGATAATAAAATAATAAATAAAATTTGTTCGACTTATTGGAACGAAATATTACTATTCATCCTATAAATGAACTAAATAACCTTTGCACTTAATTGTGTTTTTAAAAATTTTTACATTTTTTTTTTTTGTTGTAATAAAAGATTAAAACGAAATAGCACAATTTGACAGAGTAATTCCTACTTACTTTAAAACATTACATTATTGATAATTGATAAAAAGTAAACTGAGCTTGTGTAAGAAACAGAAAAAGACAACGAATTTACGAATTAACAAAATACTGTGACATGTCACTTTGGTTATCATTGCTCATATGTCAAAGGTTAATTAGATTAAGTACATTTCATCAACATAACCTCAAATCAATAATGCATTGCGGTATTAATTTATTAATTATTATTATTATTATTATTATTATTATTATTACTATTATTATTATTGAAATATTAACATAATTTATGTGTGTAAATAAATAAAAGTTATATGATTATGATTGCTTGTCATGAATTTAATTTTCTATAAATTTAAAGTGTTAAATTTGCTTCCGGCTCTCTCTTTTTTTGAAGTTTTTTTTTTCTTTTTCTTCTTCGTTATTCATTTTTTTTTTTTCAATTAAAAACTTTACTACACTTAGACCAATATTCTTGCATTAGAATGATAATTTGCTTTCTTTTTGGTGATCATTTCAGCATTTTAATTAGCAAAAAATTTGCTTAAGTATTACTATAATTTATTTGGGCAATAAAAAACAAATAAGTAATAACTGTACAATTAATACAACTAAAATACTAAAACAACAACCTATCTCTGAGATTAATGATAATATCTCAAAAAATTATTTTTTTTTTTTGTTTTACGTTTGTTTACTTCTATCACGTGAAATAAAAATTACATAAAATAAGCAATAGTTATTTGAGAAAAAAATAAGCCTAATACTTTAATTGTAAAAAAAAAAAAAGTGATTTAAGTTTTTAGAAATTTCAATAGAAGAGAATAAGAATTGTTTTAAAAATTAATATTACCGTTGTAAATTTATGTAATTTATAAACGAATACAATATTTCATGAAAGTTATATCATAAAGTATATCACAAATTTTTATCGGAAAAAAATTTACTGCATATTTGCTACTTCTCTGATTAGTTATCATTAAGCTTTATGATAAATATATATCACAATTGTCACTAATCATCCACTCAAACAATATTGCACACAAATTTAATTGGGTTCCGGACGAAATTCAAATAATTCGCTGTACGATATTACACCAAAATTCCCGTCATTTTCACCAACAATTTTACATTCTTTCAACACAATTTTCGACATAAATCAAAATTTATCAGTGTAACTTCTCCTCTTCGATTAATAACAATTTAAAATGCGCCCATTTCTGAAACTAATTCTAAATGATTTTTTCTTTTTTCATTAATAGTTAAATCACTAATTAACTTACTCAAACAACTTAACTAGCGGTGTGTGCGTGTCATACTACAAATTCCTCAATACAACTTCCCATTACACTTATCATAGATCACAAAGAGCAGACAAAAAGCAAGAAAAATCGTTAATAAATCGACGCGGAAGGTACAACTAATATCACTATTACCTGTCGCTGAATATTATAAATCCCCGAAAGGGTATTGAGTATTTGTGTAATTGTAAATATTGCTCTGATTAATTTTAACAAACACTAAAAACATAACTAAAGAGTTTGCAAATCCACTTAAGTGCACTTACTATTATGATAATCCCACATCAGTGAATCAAAAATTGTTAAACTGAGTTATACTAACATTGAATGCATCGACTATAAAGCGCTACGACTCACTAATAAAAATGAAACATTTGACTGTTCATAGATTCAGCCAAGATAGAGCGCTGATATGCGATATTTTGTGTTCGACAAACGCTATAGCAGAAGATTTAACAATGAATATTATGTAATAATTTATTGTGGAAACAATTCTCTGCATTTGTAAATTCAAACTTTTCTAATATTATCAAATAAATTTTATAGGAAAGAGCAATCACTGATTCAGCATTATCTTTTAGTAATCACTGATTCAGCATTATCTTTTATTGTCATATGCAAATTTTTTTAATTAGTCATTTGTTTAGTTTATTTCTATACTACATTAAATATCCCGCTATCCAATCAAATTTCAAACAATCAGCAGAAAAAGAGAGGAAGAAATATATATAAATATATACACATACAAGCCAAATAACAGTTAAAACTTTGCAAACTGTGTATTAGTGTGTTTATGAGCATTATGCTGTGAGGTAGGAAAATTATGGTTTCGTTCATACATTTTCCGTAACACCATTGCTTAAAGCAGTGAGCTTGTTGCTGAGCTTATTAGCAAACTGATTTCGGAATTCCGGTGATATTACATTTAGCAGTTGATAAATCGTCTCGAAATAACGGGTATGCAAATCGAGCTGCCGATAATCGCCATTCATACTATCGTGACGATCTGATGCCACACGCCATCCACGTTGCGTCAATTCAATACAGTACATACGATCTGATAACATTAAAATAATAATTGATTAAAGTAAAATCAGATTGGCTAAACTCCAAAATTTCGTGCAAATCGTGAAAAAATGAATTACTATATAAATTTCCGCCACAGTTTTACAAACGACAGATAACACGCTACTGCTCCTTCATTTATTCCATATCCTACTCAACTTCAGAGGAACCCTGGACCTGTAGATATTGATTCGAGGAAGATTTCAATAACGCAAACAAATAGGATAAATGTGCAAATCATAATTAAGTTACGAAAATAAGTAGTTTGAGATACAGAAACAGACGAGAGTTGTGCTCACTACTTAGCAGAAACTCGGAATATGGTATGAATGTGATGCGACAACACCCGCAAGATTTTTCTAATTGTATAAATCAAACTGATGAATAATGAATTGAAGAAATAAGTGCACTATTTTAACTAGAATTAGATGAAAGAACAGAAATACCTTCCAGGGTGATCAGATTCATAAAAATCAAATCAGCAGTTCGCGGTAATGCTTCTGGCAAAGATATCATTCGTACAGCAAAACCAATTTCACGAATAGCTGCAAGAGCCTCCTTTTCCAAAACCGAATCACCCAATCCAAAATCTGCACACTGTTCGGCAATATCACTGTAAATGCAATTTCTATAGCATAACTTCTTGAATAAAATCAAACAAATCCAAATATCGCTAAACCTGACTAGCAATTAATTAAATGCAATAGCTTCACGATTAAAGTTTCCACTTTTATGAAAACCGCCATATTCTTTTCCGCACAGATATTCTTAAGTTGTACTGAGCTTACATTATAACATCTAATTTCATCAAATCCATACTTCAGTATATCCGTAATTTGTTCGGGTGATAATGCTGATGATTGCATTTTTTTGTTATTACTGCTCTCTTCCGAACTGAATTCTAATAGAGGCCTACTAGGGCCATCCATTTGCTCACTACTGTTTGTTAATCAACATCGATTTGGCACTGAAAGCAGCAGATTAATTTAGATAATTATATTAGGAAAACCAAAGAATTTCATTACGAAAAAGAAAAAATCGAAAAAGAAAAAAATTCAAGAAACTAAAATAATTATATTGCAATACTGAGTAATTATATACAAAAATGAAAGAAATAGATCCGGAAAATTACACAGAATAGAACAAGAAATGATAAAGCAATTATGCTAATAAATTTCACAAGGAAAAAAGAAAAACACGGAATGTGAATGCAGTAGGGTATAAAAATGATTATAGAATTGTGATATGATATGAGCATCTTCTTAAGCAATTTATTGCCAACAAAATGATTACTGGACCTGAGTAGAGAGTATTGCTGGCCTGAAAAGAAAGTACAATTGGCCCTGAATAAAAACTGTTATTAGCCTGAATAGAAAGAGAAAACAGAATATACCCTCCATTCAGATTCAATAAGGGTAAGAAATAGCAGTAATTGTAGGAGTGAAATATATATAAGCATGAAACGAATACTCCATATTCTCATCACTATCACTGCTACAAACATTACAACCCGAAAATAGTTTAACCCGTGAATTTACCCGCAAAGATAAACAACGATGTCGGGTTAACATCGCTACATTCATATGTCTGGGTTCTCTCACAATTTCACATTATTTTTCAACCTTTTTACAATTGAATTTCTTGCTGGCAAAGTGTTCGGGTATGTGATTGCGAGTGATGGGTACTTGGGATAATGGGTGCTTGGAGTAATTACGTAGTGCTATTATTACTTTATTCACGTGGTATCACTCGTTTTACGTGGTACCATTCTACGCTACGTGGAATTTTATCTTCTTTCTCAAAGTTGGTCGATGGTTGATGTTTATGAAAGAAGAAATATTTTTATTTCCTCAGATAGTGCAGAAATTTATTATAGCAGAATTTTTATGACAGAAATTTTATAAAATAAAAATAAAAAAAATAATATGTAAGATGTTATTATTTCTGTTAAAAATAAAAAAAAATAATATGTAAAGATGTTATTACTTAGATTTTAAATATATATATATATAGATATTGAAATTATCAAAAATGGTGTACTTATAACATTTTCGAAAGGATTAGAAAAGGTGCATTCAATTAGACATATTTAAAATCTAAGTTACTCAATCTTTTATCAGAATATTTTTAAAATATTGTCGAATGCTTTTCATGAGCCAAATAAAAATTAGAGTTTGAATATGTTTTTAGAGTTGTTCATTCCGATATCACTAGTTTATTGGCCGGTTTTGGATGGCAAATCGAACAGTAAAAGATGCGGTCACCGTAAAAGGGACAAATCCACAATATTTAGTGGAAAAAATTATTCGCACACGAATTTATGATTCGAAATATTGGAAGGAAGAATGTTTTGCATTAACTGGTAAGCAACAAAAAAGGAAAATTTTAGTGATTAGAAAAAGTGCATCGACAGTTTCAGAATTGTTCATTCTACTAATATCCAATTGTTTATAAAACTTTAAATAGCAATGAATTTTGAAGTTCTTTTTGCTTAATATCAATTTATACAATTTGTTTTGAAGCAACTATCCTGTTATCACTTTTTAGACATTTTACATTTTTTGTAGCTAAACTTATATTCAAAAAATTTTTGTTTATATACATAACTTTGATGTTTGATATGCGATGAATGCAAACAAGTTATGATGTAATTACAGCAGAACTTCTGGTAGACAAAGGAATGGAACTACGATATATCGGCGGAATCTATGCAGGAAACGTGAAACCAACACCTTTTTTATGCCTGTGCTTGAAAATGCTACAAATTCAACCAGAGAAAGATATTGCTGTTGAGTTCATTCGGCAGGAAGAATACAAGTAAGTTATTGAGTCTTCAAGAACAAATTTTCAAGATTTCTTTATTACATTACTTTATTTCAGATATATTCGTGCATTGGGAGCGATGTACATCCGACTTACGTTCACTTCTATTGAAGTTTACAAATATTTGGAACCCTTGTATAACGATTACCGGAAATTGCGAATGATGAACAATGAAGGAAGTAAGCTAAAAATTGAAACAGCTCTCTTTATAACTAATCTGCGTAGATAAAATTTCAAATTGAAATAATTATTTTTTTTATAGGATTTGAAATTGTTCATATGGATGAATTTATTGACAATTTGTTACGTGATGAACGATACTGTGATATTCATTTGCCGAGAATACAGGTATTCTAATCTTCTTGCTTTTTTTCGTTGATTTCTGCATAATTTATTTTTCTACCATATTGTCAGCGGTATGGTAATCTTTATGAATAATGTCAACCTAGCGTATAGAAACCATATAGTAGAGTAGTAAGATGTATTGTGCTAATTACACAAAAGTTTTGATTTGGAAGTTCGAAGAAATTGGATAACAGTGACCCTGTTTAAATTGCAACATTTGTTTTTAGTTTTGATGTTTGAGGAGCATGTTCTAACTGCTGGGATATTAGATAATTTTTTTGCATTAATTGTAAGGAGAACTGAATATGAAATATGTTTAATTATAAATTATAGAAACGAATAACTTTGGAGGAAGTTGGAGAGTTACAACCATACGTTAGTGCACTCGATGAAGATCTCGATAAGTTATCATCATCAGATTCCGAAGACGATGACGATAGAATTCGCAAAAGAAAAGAACGTTCAAAGGCAGGCATATATGTGATTATATTTTAGGGCTTATCATCATAAGATGTTTGCTGCTTAATTTTAGGTAAACTATGTGCTTTATTTTTGGTGTAAAATGAAGATCGGTAATTCAGATTTTTGCTTATTACATAGTTATTCCTTCGAAAAGTTTTGCAACGTTTTTAAGTGTGATATTTAACAAAATATTGTTGTTATGTAAAAGATGAAAGTAAGTCAAATATTGCTGCTTTTTTGTCCTTATAGGTTATGCCTCGCCGACGCAGTTATTCAAGAGAACGTGAACGGGAACGTGATGTGGATCGAGGTAGAGATAGGGACAGAGAAAGAGAACGAGAACGGGAGAGGAGCGTGACAATGATCGTGACAAAGATAGGAATAGAGATCGCGATCGACGTCATCGCACACCGGAGTATCGTGATCGAGGTATTATAGTTTCAGCAAATTAAGTTGAGCACTTATTTTTAATTAAATTTGGATTAGTTATGTTTGATAATCATGTAAAATTTAATATTGATATTAGCTCATTTAGATGTATCTTTTTCAGTTTTCTTGCTAATATGTGATGAAGATAGTATTAAAACTCCCTTTTTTTACTGTGTCGTAGAATAGTTTGAGAGAGTTGGAATAGACTTTTTCTTAAAAAAAAAAAAAAAAAAACAAAAAAACAAAAAACAAAACAAAAAGGTAATACACTCAATGGAAGAGCCATAGCTGTGGGACTGAATAGCAATGTTTTACAGCGATTTATTTCAAATTACTATTATCTTTCTCACTGTTTTTATTTAAATCAGTTAGTTGTAGAACGAAATAGTCGAAAAGACAAGGAACGCGATAAGGATCGAGAGCGGTGACGTGTGGACAATGTTTGACTCGGAAGTATTGTTGGTTCTGTTAACGTTGTTTTTTGTATATTCAGGTGTGTTCGTTTTTCACTGGTCGTTTATTTCGTTAAGTCAAAATTGATCTATCACCTTTTATAGTCATTAAGTTGTTAAGTAATCTTCCAAATCTCAATTCCGTCGTCATTATGATATAATGTTTTCTTCCTGATTATTTTGTTTACCTTAAGTTCGATCGGAAATGGTAGTTAGTTTTCAGATAATCCATACTTGTGAAAACGAAGAAATCATATATGAAATTTTAGCTTTATTTTAATCATTATATTTTTCGATATGAAATTGAATTCAGGCGATTGATTCTGTTTTATCTCGAGTTATTGCTGCATCCAATATAATAAATTCATTCAAAGTTAAATGTCCCTTAAATAGTGGATGAAGCAAATAAAGGCATACCAAATAAATATTAGAAATTGCTTAGAATTTCATTTGAGTTGTTGATCATTCTTAGCAGTATGTCTTTTTACAGTAATTTCACTTTTGGTTTCTCAAATATAATGTAATAATGAATGTTAAAGCGATACAAGGTCTCAAATTATTTTGTTTTAGTTTTTCTCTAAACAGTGCGATATTAGAATATAAAGTTTCATAGGAATTACTTTTTCTTCAGATGTTATTCCAGTTTCTTTGCAAATTTGCGAAAGACGTGGTGAAATTTTGAGATTATCAGGATCGTCCAATGCAGGAAATATGACATCCCATGGTTCAGCTTGTTTATATCTGTAAACCTCATCCTTGATGTCTTATTGTTTGTTTTTATAAGATATGAATGTTTGTCATTAAGATTGTAGAGTGATAAATAAAATTAAACCAAAATTATGAAAGTAATATAGACATTATGAAGAAAACCTGGAAAATTTGAAATAAAAATATTTGGAATTAAGAAGAACGTTGATAATATTTCTATGTATTCGAATAAACGAACCAATATGATTCAGAACGGTAAGTTAAAAATTAATATTTTAGATTGTCTTCCATAAATTATGCTATAAGTGTTAGTAATGTGTGAGTTGTTTTCATCTTTCAATTTGAAGAGTTAAATGATTGTAAATTGCTAATTAATCTAATTAAGTATGCAAATCTCACTTTCATTTTATCAGGTATATTCGATGAAATTTCTAATTTATGCGTATTTATATATCATAATATCCTGCTTACCTAATTGAATATATGATAGGTACGTATCCGAAGCTGAAAAACTGCTCTATTCGATAGTGTAATGACATTCGTGCTGTACCTCTGGAAAATGCCTTTCTTTCAATAGTAATATTTAAATAAAGTTTAGATGAAGTAACAATTTAGCAGTGGGAACAAAATATTTCATAAATAATACAATCATATGACATAATTTTAACTAACTGACTTACTTGTCTATTTGTACCAGTTCAGCAATATATGGTAGTGCTTCAAGATCGAAACGATCACTTCGAGGTTTATTTTTAAGACGTTTTATCTTAAAACAAATTAAACTTAAACTATTTTTTCTTTTTTTTTTTTTCACTTTTCAAAGTAAAAAAAGATGATAAAGTAATCAATGTAGTATGATTTTGTCTCATCCATTAAACTTATTGTATGGATACCTTAAGCATTAAAGTTTGTTTAGCATCGATAATACCGCCAGTTGGATTTACTCGGAAATCAGATGGATGTGTCACTTTAACCTGAAATAAAGAATTTAACAAGCTATGTTATAAGAAGTAAAAAATTGCTGATGTAAGCTAAGATTATTGAAGGAAAAAGAGTAGTAAAATTTAAAGATAGTAACATCAGTTCTTTTTGAAATAATACTAATTATAGTCTCGAAATAATAAAAATGTAATCAGTGACATGTCAAAAATGTTACAGAAAATAAACAATTAGAATTTGAAAAATATTCCATAATGCAGAAAATTTAAATAATGCAAAAAATTTACTCGAAAAATAATTGGAAATAAATTTTCATTGGTAATTTCATGAACATTTATCAATTCTTCAGTGCCGTCAACATAAACAAAATCTGGTTCAATATGAAATTTCAATCTTTCCATTCTCCTCAAATATTATTATTTTTTTTCTTGGAATATTAGAAAGGGAGAGAGAGAGAGAGAGAGAGAGAGAGAGAACTATGTACATAGAAGTGAATGGATTAATGCTTAGATACCATATCAGTAATTAAAATAATTTTTGCTTATAATCCAATATATATTTAAGAAGTTGAAAAGATACAAGTAGAAAGATGATTATATTAGAATTAGATAAAGCATAAATCAATTTAATTATTTATATGTGAATTTTAAAAAAAAAATTATTCAAATTTAGTGGCAAATTAAATAAATTTCAAACCGCTATGTGATTGAATTTTTATGAATTTATTAATACATACTTAATCAATTTTTCATGAGTTACAGCTATCCTCACTGCATCACTAGCAATTTCACTTGATTTCTCACCCTAAATTAATTTTTTTTATTTTTATTTTTTTAAATTTCAATTCAATAGCTAAAATTTTGATCAGAGTTAATACAATGTTATCAAATCATTTGAATACTATAAATTAAAAGATCACAAAATGAAATGTGTAATTCAAAAATGACTTTTTCATTTTGAAAAAATTCATTTCATTAAATGTATACCATTCGATTCTCGATTTGATTGTTTGAATAATTATTCTGAAATTGAAAAATTAAATAAATTATTAGTGATTAAATATCGATTATTAATGATGCTGTAAAAGAGTGTAAAATTTAAATATTTATTTATTCATTAATTATGGTTAAATATTGGCTAAATTTAGGTAACATTAGAAGTGCAAAAAGACTTTATGAATTGAAGTAAACAATTTCATTTGTATATTTAACAGTTTCCAATTTCATTTTATATTAGATTTATATTTTATATTTATATTGTTGATATAACCAGAAAAGATAATAGCAAATAAGCAGTTATTACAAATAAATTATTAAATAACTAAAAAACTGCCAATAATCATATCCATTTGATGAATTTAAAGTAAACAATGAAATTATTGAATTTATTGAATTATATAAATAATTAAATATAATTTGCGATATTTATTTCTTTTTGAAAAATTGTTAAATTTGTTGTTAATCAATGATACTGCTAAAAAAGCAACATCACCTTACTACTGAATAATTTTGTGCATTAAATGAAAGCAAATAATAGTTTGATTAAAAATGAAAAAATTCATTTCATTTAAAAAAAAAGATAATTTCAGTAATTTGCATTTGTATTTCTTAGGAAAGAAAAAAATTGCTAGAAATAATTGAAATAATTGAAATTTTCAATATAATTATTAAAATTATGAAACGGCCAAGTGGTTTATCGATAGCATTAATGTTAATGGTTTTGAAAAGTTGTATTGTTTTCATCGGTTAATGAGTATTTTATTTTTGTTATTTCTTGTTATTATTATTATTATTATTATTATTATTATTATTATTATTATTATTATTATTATTATTATTATTATTATTATTATTATTATTATTATTATTATTATTATTATTATTATTATTATTATTATTATTATTGTCATTATTATTATTATTATTATTATTATTGTTGTTGTCATTATTATTATTATTATTATTACTCTCTCCTAATTCTTTTCTAATCAATTCATTTTTTGTGATAAATGAGATTCAATGAAAATTGTTCGATTTCCTGAAATGAAACTGAAGATTGCCATTTTCAGTTGATTTAAAAATTTTCCCAATAATATCACTGATAATTTAAATAATTATATTTTAAGCATTATTTGAACAACTTATGCATTATTACTGCTTGATTAATATAAAATTAAATATTAAAGAATATTTGCATAAATTTTAATAGCAAAACTTTTAAGTTCTTTATGAATCATTTATGCTACTAGTCCGACCATATTTACTTAGTATTAAACTTTATGGACAAAATAATTTATTGGAATTTGTCATTGAATATACTATCTTCTCATGTTAGTTTATTTATACTTTTTCAAATAATAAACAAAACATGAAAAAAAAAAAATTTTTTTTTAGGTATAAAATTAGTAACGAAATTTTGTTAACAAAATGGTTGCATTACAGCAAAGTGTAATGCATTCATTTAAAAATTTATCATTTGTAAAATAATTTTAATTTTCACGAAATAATCTAAAATTAATGTAAGAAAAACAAATTGGAATAAAATTGTTGCTTTCAAGAAAAAAAAGTGCAAATTATTATAAATTCAAACTGAAAAGGTTAGGAAAAAAATTAAGATGCATGTTTAAATTTTTCAAAATAAAAATTTTTTATGAGTTAATTGCTCAATTTAATTTCTTAAGTGTTGATATTATGATAATAATAGATAGATATTATAATATGTCATTTCTATTTATTAATTTGAATTTCTAAATATAGAAAATTCAAATATTATAATATTTTATTTTTATTTGTTAATTTGAATTCTTAAATATAGGAAATTTAGATATTATAATATTTCATTTCTATTTATTTTAAATATGGGAAATTTAGATATTATAATATTTCATTTTTATTCGTTAATTTGAAATCCTAAATATAGGTATTATGGTAATAACAGATATTATAACATTCCTTTTACTATTGGATGGCAATTATGAGACAATCAAATATTTCTTAATAATAATATTAATATGCCAATTAATCATACTTTTTCCATTTTCTTTGTCAGGTAAGTTAACCCACATGTCGGGTAACTAATAAGTAATGCGTCACAGATTATTATTCACATTTTTTACTTTTTATTCAAATTAAAAAATAAAAAAATGTTATTTTAAGGAATAATTCTTGCTATAACAACACAACAAGCATCTGCTAAAGCTTTTAGTAGCACTTGGTTGGAAAATTTTCATTATATTCATTATTATTCATCAAATTTAACCGCACCAATGGCAAATTTTTTCACATAAATATTTCTTCGTTTTCTTTTTTAGATTTAAATTTAATTTTTATATCGTTTAAATAAAAATTTTTCATTTTGCAAAAAAAAAAAAAGAAAAAAAAGATGAATTTTTGAAGTTTTTCTTTTCTTAAAAAACAAAGAAAAAAATTCGGTTAAATATAAAAAAGTCTAACATAGAAAATTTAATGAATATGAATTTAAATTTAAATTTGTATCATTTAAATACAAATGTTTTATTTCACTAAAAAAAAAAAGTGATTTTTTGAATTTTCCTTTTCATTTTGAAGAATTTTAGTTAAATACAACAAATTTAA